AAAAAAAAAAAAAAAAAAAAAAAAATGTAAATGAAATTTTACAAAACTTTGACACTGATTCGCAAAAAAACTGATATAAAATATGATTGAAGACAAAAACTTCTCAAAAAAATAAATAAATAAATAAATAAAAGAAAGTGGCAATATATTTTCAATTTAGTTTCCAAAAAAAATTCTCTCTCTAACTTCAGAGGACACCTTTACACTACGCGTGTCAAAAGGGCCGGACTGAAATTGTGAAGTATTTACTGAGTAAAAATGCCGACATTAGTGCTGCTGACGATAACCTGGTAACGTTTTCTAAAATAAAATGTACGGAATCCTGTAAGGGAAAGGTTTTTCAGCACAGTTTTTTACGTTATTCTGAAAGAGAAAATTTTGAAAAAACAGACTAACAATATATCGGCAGATTGATTCAAAAAAAAAAAGAAGAAAATCTTGCGGCTCAAACATTTGTACAAAGCTAATTCGCAAGAAAAATTGATATAAAAAATAACCAAAGTTGCAAAGCTTTTATAAAACGAGTAAAAAAAATAGTGCACAAAAAAATCTAAGCTTTACTCTTTTAAAAACCCTGCATCTTTTACTTTAGTGGACGCCATTGCACTACGCATGTTATTGTGGTCATATTGAGGTTGTGGAGTATTTGCTAGACAATGAGGCTAACGCTAACTCAGTGAGCAAGCACGGGGTAAGCAGTATAATATACCAAAATAATTTTTGATAAAGTTGCTTAGTTTTTGCCAAGTATGGCAGTTCACTGGTAAAAGATTGCTACTGAACATATAAAAGAAAAATCTGCCACGTTTGACTTTTTCATTGAATTTCTCAGAACTTTCAAAAAAAAGAGACATACCAAAAAGCAGTAAATATAATTACTTACTTTGCATGAAATATTCCTCTGAGTTAGAAGATTGGGAAGTATATTTCTACCGCCCTTCTTATATTCTATTACTTCCCAGTACAATATCTTCTATAACTTAGATTCAGTAATGCCATTCATAGTTCTATATTTGCAGCATCTTTTTTCTGATTCTCTGCAACTTATTTATAAGATCAGTTGGGAAGAAAAACGAAGACTTCCAATAAAAACAAAGAACAAGCGGAAAAGCAGCTATCAAATTTATTAATGAAAAAATATTACTACTCATATGTCCACACAAAACTGACATTGATTTGCACAAAAAATACATGTAAAAAGTAATGAAATTTGCAAACTATTCACAAAAAAGGAGAAAAATGGGTCAGAAATTCAAATTTTAGTGCTCACGAAACACCTTATCTCGTATTTCAGTCGACACCGTTGCACAACGCTTGTCAGGCTGGGCATATTGAAATCGTGACGTACTTGTTGGGTAAAGGGACCAATATCAATGTACAGAATGATTACGGGGTAAAATTTCTTGAGCTGAACTTAGACAATGAAAAAAATCTTTGTAAGGTTTTCTACGTTTTGCATAATATGAGAATTCACCGATAAAAAATTCCCGGTGCAGAAACAAAAATTTTAAAAACCAGTCGTTCTCCAACTTTCTATTTACCTTCTCAGAAAAAACTCCTTTCATAGAAGAATACGAAATATACGAGAAACGAATAAATACAGATGCTTATGCCGTATAAATTGTTCAGCTATGCTAAAAAATTGAAAATATCAAACACCCACTTTTCTTCAGTATTTTACTGCTTTTCAATAAAACATATGTTATAAATTAAATCTAATATTATCAAACTTTAATAGTCTTATAATTAGATCATCTTTTTTCTGCAAGCCTGCAATTTATTTCAGAAATCATTGATTTTCGAAAAAAAACAGCCAGTATGTTACCAAGTTGATCAAACACTACAGCTCAAAAGTATACATAAAACTGAAACCGATTTACTTTCAAACTGACATAGCAGAGGAACAGATTTTAATAATTCTCGTTGAAAAAATGAAAAAAATATTTGAACGTTTGAATTTTAATGTTATAACATAGCACTTGACCTCATGTTTCTAGTTGACTCCGTTGCATTACGCTTGTCTGACTGGTAACATCGAAATTGTGAAATACTTAGCTGATAAAGGCGCTAACATCAATGTACTGAATAAGTGCAGGGTAAGGTTTCTTAAGCTTAACAGAGCAGTTTTTAAAAACGAAAGGTTTCTCCGCACAACTTTTTACGTTTTTTCTTATATGAGAGTTTAATAAAGCACCGTTATTGTTGGAAAAATAAGAGTTTCAAAAGCTCTCATCCTTAATTTAATATTTGAAAAGCATTCAACAACTTTAAACAACTGAGAAATTTTATTTTTACTGTTTTCTTGGCTATTTCTTTGTCATACGATAAACATACGTTTAACTTAAGCGTAGTATTATTAACCCTCAATAGTCCTATAATTAGCACTTTTCCTTTAAATCTTTCCACAGTTTATTTGAGAAGTCATTTTCAAAAAAGCAAAAAACTTTTGAAAGCAAACGAACAAAATACTGTCAAGTTGATTAATAATGGATAAACATACAAAATTGACACCGATCTGTTCAAAAAATAATATATGGAAGCTACGAAGTTCCCACAGAGGAAGTAGAAAAATTGAGTGAATTTTCACCTTAGAATTCTAGTATTCGTAAAGCGACTTGTTCCTTACTTTAGAAGACAGCATTACACTACGCATGTGTGAATGGCAATCTTGAAATCGTGAAGTGTTTGTTGAGCAAAGGAGCCGATATCAACGCCAAAGACGACATACTGGTAATGTTTCATATCCGAAGTAAGCGAAATCTAATTCGAAGAAGATTTCTTAGCGCAATTTTTTTTGCTTTGTTAACTTTGAGATATCATTGTTTCTGAAGACTTGGAGGTGTTGAAAACTCGTTGTCCTCGATTACTTTTTGGTTTATTTGAACGCTGTTTTCAAAGAACAAAAAAGAAATGAGAGGAAGGGAAATTAAAAGAAGCGACAGATAAAGTCAGTCATTTTGTATAAAAATATTCTTCTACAGCGGAAAATCAAACAGACCTTGATTTTGCTGCGTTTTTAGTAATCTCCTGTCTTCCAGAAAGACATGTGATAAACTTAATTTAAATGTTACGAAACCGAGTTAGTCTTGTAGTCTTATAATTGCAACGCCCTCCTTTCTAACTTCTCCTAATTCAATAGAGTTATTCTTTAGAAAAAACGAAAAATTTTTGAAAAAGTGAAAGGGCAAGGTGTCATTAAGAAGACCCAAAGAAATTCTGCTACCCAGATATTTACTCAACAATCTGTTCGTGCGACGAACTGATATAAGAAGTTGCCAAAGTTTTAGAGTTATTATTTTAAAAAAAGTAAAAACTGGTACACAGGTCTTGATTCTACGGTCAAAAAAGCATCTTGTTTTTTACTTTAGTGGTCAACACTGCATTACGCGTGTTACGGTGTTCATATCGAAGTCGTAAAGTATTTAGTGAACAAAGGAGCTGACGTCAATGCTGTAAGTAAAGATGGGGTATGGTTTTTATATTTAACTGAGTAGGCCTTTTTAACAGACAAGTTTTTTCCCGTGTGGATTATATGTGAATTAACATTGTTTGAAAGTCTATTAGATTACAAGCGTAATGAAGCAGCAAGAAAAGTAACAGAAAGTTAGAACAAGTAAAGAGGATGAAAATGAGAGCTTTATATAAACTGGGACAATGAGTCATTCTGAAAATTATTTTGAACCGTGCAGAGATGCAGTTATGTGTGTAAATTAAATTTCTTGCTGCTTTTATGATAAAAAGTAAATGCTTGTATTTGTCCGAGTTTGGTTCTGTTTATAACAGCAGTGAATTCCATGAGAGAGGTGCAATAAGCTTTTAAAGGTCGTTTTTACGGGTAGGTGATTGACTTTTAATGGTCTGCTATTTATTTCATTCTGTTTCAAGCAGATTACGTGACTGTAGTGAGTTTGACAAAGCTTTTAATTCAAAGCAGTCACCGTTTTCATTACAGATGACGCCTCTATCAGCAGCGCTTCGTATAAATAACTCTACTTTCGAGGTAAAGTTTTAGCGTTTCGATTACACCGGTAAGTATAATGAGAAATTTTTCTGAGAAAAATTTATAATTTTACTGATTGGTCTTTGTTTTCATACAGGTGTTTTCCAATTTATATTTTGCAAATAACTGCGAGAAAATAATTACCTTCCAATTTCTTGAGATTTTAAAACGTTTTTTCAAGATTTGCAAGATGTTTTTTCGCTTTTTGTAAATTTTTTTATTTTCTTCTACTGCTTTGGTAATCACAATGCTAAATATATTACAATGACGATTAACGAATTACGGTGAATTATTTTTTTCGCTGCTACTGATGTGATATGAGAGATATACTCTGTATGATAGGAGGTAATTGTTAAGTGCTTGGCGATTTTCTGTAATAAAACTGAGCTTGGTTTTTTAGAATACAAACTGTTGGAGGTTTCAAAGGAAACATGTATTTGAAATTGTGAAGCTTCTGGTTGAGAATGGCGCTGATGTAAACGTGGTTGGCAAAAATGAGGTAAGAAGATTTACTGCAAAAATTTGAAACTGTTGTCAAGATTTTTTCTTTCAAGTTTTTCTCCTATTTGTAATTCAGATCTTATACATTTTTGAACAAATGTTGTTTACATACAAAAATCAAAGTAAAGTCTGTAAAATTATATTTTTATTCCTGTCTCATTTCAAAAGTCTTCTAAATTTCTTCAGTAGTATGCAACATTTTATTAATTTACTAATTAAGGTGTTCTAGTCTTGAACCAAGCCGCACACTTCTCTAAGTCTATGGTTTTAAGTAATGCACCTTAAATTTTGTAAACTAAAACAAACAACAAGGCGTCTTCCGAAGCTAAACTAATCAGATGTCTAAAAGAAGAACCTTGTTCTGCACACTGCAATCTCATAAAAAATTATACAACTTTGTCAGTTGCAAAAATATTATATGAAAGTAGAAAAACACATTTAAAGTTTTGAAGAAGAACTGAAAAAGGCGTAATTTGTTGCTAGAAAATGTTGAAAATATGCACCTTTATTTTTGCAAAGTCAAAATTTATTGAAAACATGTATAATATATTGGGAAGGTCTACTTTTCTAATATGATTGGTGTTTAAGATTTAAATGCTTGTTTTTTCAATATTAATAAACTCTTTAATTGTCTTGAAAAGGGCTAGCTGTAAAACTGGGTTCTTACCATCACTTATAAAAATTATACCTGAAGATATATAGCCATGCTGAGTGGTGTAGGTGAAGGAATTGAGCATGGCTTATAAATTTTCATGTTTTGCAAAAGTTGGTCTATTTAAAAACTTCAGGTTTAAAGATGTTTTACGAGCTATCCTTTTCTACAAAAACATGTTTTAAGTGCAGTGCAAAATACTGCTTTTTGCAGGAGAGTATTGTGAAATTTGCAAAAAGCCAAAATAAAAAGCCGCCATCGTCAGTCTATAGTTGCATATTCAATAATGAATTGATCCAACTTCTTACGGGTAAAAATAGAACAACAGTTTTTTGTTTTGTTAGAAAATGTCCTACAGAAATTGGTTTTGGACACTATGCTGCATTGAATAAAAAACCACTTCTTAAACAGAAATTGTTTTTATGACAATTAAAATCGCAGATCAACGCTTCTCAATAAAGCTTTGAAAACTTTTTTCTACGATAAGTGCTTTTTAAAAAGCTCTGTTTTACCAGACAGCAGAAACAAAAGAAAAAAGAAACATACAGTCGTGTAAATAACATAGAAATTTTCTTTCCAGTTTTTACAGTGACAATTTGTTTTGGTTTTACTGCTATCGCCAATTTTGCCTGATTTTTTCTTTCTGAAATTTTCTCACTACGAAGGACTGCTGTAAAGTTTAACAGAAAATTAAATCACATGTGTTTTTATTATGCTGCGTTTCTGCAAACATTTCTTTTTTTAGCAGAAATCTCTAATGAATCGTTATCATTAGATCCAAATAGCAAAATCGGTGAAGGGGGAGAGGCCACAGTGTATAAGGGCACATTAAACGGAAAAATTGTAGCCGTGAAGGTTGTAGCATCAATGAAAAGACAGATCACTAACCTAGTCTATTTGGAACATCCGAATATAGTCAAATATATGTAAGTTCCACAGTGTACTCAATGTAATTTTTATCTATTTATGTATTTAACTGTCTGCGAACAAATTATGCGCGGTCAGAATAATTATCATAGAGTTACACAACTAAAACAAATAAAAATTTAATTCTAAACTAAAGCTGGTTATGTGAAAAGTAATGATAACAACAATTCTGGCTAGAAATGCAAATAAGGTTTACATAATGACAATTTAATTAAACAATTGAAGAAAGTAAATAAAATTATTCAAGTAATTGTTATAGATTCTCGCAGGACGACTAAGGTGAGTACTGAAATAAGTAAGTGCTTTTAGCGCAAAAGGTACAATTTTTCAGCTCATTCATGAAAGTCACTTTGTTCGGTAGAGGCATCAAACAGTCTATAAAGCCAGTTTATAAAATAAAACTAGGAGAGGCAAAAAGTGCCTTATTTTTCAAATAAGGCACTTTTTGCCTCTCCTAGTATTATTTTATAATTTGATACTTTTAAAAACTTCTGATATGAGTTTCATTAATTGTAATTTTTCCTGAACTTTTATAGACAAATTTTTGCTTATCTTCTCATAATTATAAAGACCAGTAAATTTCTGTAATTCAATTAAGTTTTTAAACAAAATTTCTTGGTAACAGTACTGGTAAAGTGTCTTTACATGCAGTGTTAGATAACTCTTCTATACAAATAATCATTTTTGAATCATATTTGAGAAATTTTTCAGCCTATTTTCTTGACTAATATTGGCTAAAAATACTTAAGAATTTTTTATGTACGAGTCGATAAAAGCTTGTTTTGACAATGTAGATTGATGACTCTACAATCCTCGTAATCTATCGTGTTTTATAAACTGGCAACGGAAAGTTATTTCAGTATTTGCATGTCTTCTACGATAAATGATTGTCGTTAACAGAATACTGTAGACAGAAATTAGTATAATCGTGTGCTCATTTTTAGATGTTGTTGTTTCTTGTTTTTACTTTATTTTAGGTGTAGGTTAGTTTTTACAAATTCTAAATTTAGACTGAACGTAAACAATTTTTAAGCAGCCTACTAAAAACTGCAAATTCTTAAAGTTTATCCAAAATTAATTTTTCTTGAAATTGCTGTATGCAGTTTTTAAAATACTGAATACAGTAATCAGTTGACATGAAAAGATCAATTTTTGTAGTGGTATTTGCAGTCAAACGCCGATGACTTGGATATTGATGGAGTATTGTGATGGAAAATCGCTAAAAGAATTGATTCACAGCGATCAGGAAATTGAAAAAAAAGATATTCGCTGCTGGGGTAAACAAATTGCAGATGGCATGAGCTACCTACACTCGAAGAAAATTATTCATCGTGATTTGAAACCCTCAAAGTTTGCTTTATCTTTTATCGCATCATATAAACAATCGCCACAGCAGAGTCTCAGTCTAATATTCCTTTAGTGTCCTCAGTACGAATAATGTTTTGAAAATTTCTGACTTTGGCATGTCAAGAATTTGGGAAATGTCGAACATGAAAAGTATGACTTTGTGTGGTACACGTGCGTACACAGCTCCTGAACTGCTTAAAGGCGAAGAATGTAATGAAAAAGTGTGTTTTAAACACTTAAATTCTCCTTTCTTTCTTTTCATAACATTTCAATCTTGTTTAAGCAATTCTTTTTTGAATTGATTTATTTGTTTTTAGGTCGATGTATGGAGTTTTGGAGTTCTGTTATGGGAACTTTTGACAAGGGCGCAACCGCATTCGTATGTGAATAAAGTTCACTGCATCTACTTTTTGAAGCTGATTTTCAGCGCCTAATTTCAAATTTTTACGTTTAAAACAGTAGAATACCTTAAAATAACTATCTTTTATAGGACAGTTAGTCTTCTATTCCCGCCAGGAATACCTGTTGAAGTTGAGCAACTGTTAAACAGCTGTCTCGCAGAAAATCCTGAAAAACGTCTATCATTTCAGGAAATTTTACTCAAATTTACTAATTTGAAGGTAACCTTGACTTCTAGCAGCTAACACCACTTCTCAAAACGTTTGTCTAGTAGTAGTTTTTTTCAGTCGATATCTAGCTTACTGTTTTTATTTAATAATAAAAGTACCTCTCACTTCGCATTATTCTCATGTTACTTCGATAATTCGCATTTGAGTTTCAGTTAGGAGCGTCGACGAAAGAAGAATGGAGGAATAAAGTAAGCGGTTGGAAAGACTGTGTAGAAAGAAAAATAAAGCAAAGTAAAAAAAGAATTAAAAAACGCGAAGGTAAGTGTTCAGTGGCAGTAGATTACAAAGTTTCTACATCAGACACTTGCAGAAGTCACAGTAAGTTTACTCGTTTTTTTTTTTTTACCATAAAGTTTTCATGAGGTCTTTCTCAAAACTGATAAACTTTTGAAATGTGTGATACACTCAGAAATAGCTGTTTTGCTTTTTGTAGGTAACTTAAATTGTTTATTAGCAAAAAATAATAAGAACACGTTTTCTTTATAAGTGTCATAAAGCACTGTTGTTGCTGCTGTCAGTGACGACTTTAAACTCTACCTTCTGAAGAAAAGTAAATATAACGTTACCATATATGAAGTAACAAGTTTAAAGCGGAAAAAAGTTAATATAACTTTCACAGGAAAAGCTTGCAAAACAGTTCTCGGTTTGCAGAAATGTCTTATTACGGAAAAAAACAGCAGTATTAATCTGCGACAAACTCACATTTTTCACTTGTAAAGATGTTCTGCTGCTAAATTCTTTATGGAGAAGGTAGAGTTCAAATAACTCAAATAAAATAGCTTTTTAGTGCAGTTTTTACCGTAAATTATAAAGAATTTTTTATTAACTCTTTACCTTTGATATCTGAAAGTCCATACTGGGCATTCTAGTTTTGATGTCATAACAGATGACTGATCATTTAAAAAGCAGAAAGAAAAACAAAGTCTATGCTAAAGCTAGGAGTTGTACACATGAAAAATACCTCACGAAGTTTTAATAGGATAAGACTAAACTTTAGAACCAAAAGCTGGTACGTTTTCGCAACTTGTGACAAGGCTTCCTGATGTCATTATCGAGTTAAAGCATAAAGTCACCAAAAAAAAATTTTGTTTGTTAATCATCAAATTGTTACTTTAAATGTTTATTTATGTCTTTCAACTCTGATACAGCAGTTACAGTTTTTCAGCGACGTGTACAACAATAAAGTTGTGCAAATACATGTGTAATTTCAATAGAAAGCAGAATTTAGCGGATTACTTACTGTTACAATATGCCCAAAAACTAGTAATCAAAAATGAGGATTGACCAGTTCTTTGACTATTTGTTAAATCACTTATGCTGTCAAAACTTCTGAATCTTATTTGACAAATGATAACATTTCCCAAGCACATAAACAGTGTCAGTGTTCAACTGTAGAGCTTTTAGTAAATGATGAAAAAAATCAGTGAGAAGAAGACAACATATCACATTCTGGTTTTTTCAATTGGTGTCTGAGCCGAAAAGTAATTCCTTTATTTTCTCGGAAGTGCTGTCAATTGAACCCGGGCCTATTTAAATTTTAATTTTTTGAGACGGTTAACAAAACTGTCTTAAAAACCAGACCGTCTTTTTTCAGTGCATCTGGCGTATCACGATCAGTCATAAACTGCGTAGAAATTCAAAAGTATAACCAAGTTTTCACGCGAAAAACAACCCAAAAAAATAACAAGAAATCTTCTAACTATTTTGAAACAAACAACCTTCACTCAGCTATAAAGCAGTTTTTGTGCTTTCTTTAAAAAAAATTAAAGTTTAAAGCAGCTTTTAAATTTTCCTATTTCCATGCCAGTAACTGCTAAAAATTTAGCAAAGGTAAGCTTTATCTTTTGGTATTAAACTATGCTGGGAGAAACTCGAGTTAATATAGCAGGAGAACAAATACTTGTAGACAGCGGTCTAAGTATACGTATTTTGCTATAACGTCACAATAAGCAAGAAAATAGATTTACACAGTTATAACTGTCTGACAAAAAAGTTTAGCAGCCTTTCATGTTTTATCAAATTTTGAAAATGATGTGTTTTTCTGTCAAAAGAACAGAGCTTTCACTTATACTGCTACTTAGTTTCTTTCAGGCTTTACGCAGCTATGATACAGATCACTCAATAATTTACTTCTCGATGCGAGTACTTCCGGTAGAATGATTTCTTCACCCAGCTGTTCTTTGGAAGGTCGATTAGAGTATATAAAAGACGACACCAGTAGAACACTGAATGTTATTCGTAATTATCATTATTTCGACTATCTTTTAATTTAATAATTACTCTTTTTTAATAAAATTCATTTCTGTACGTTTCGTTCAACTTTCTTATTCGAATTGCTCTTTCATTTATTTTGTACCACTTTTTCTTTTAATAAAGCATTAGACTGTGTGACAGAGGGTTTATTGACTTCACAAAAGAAAAACTCATGGCTGTTGCACTAGTTACAGTCAACTCCCAAAAAATTATATAGATCTCAAATTGAATGTATCTCGGTGCGGACATTTGTCATATACAAAAAAAGACCTAAAGTCTTAATAAGTCCTAAAAAGTTGCCGTGTTATCCTCTAAAGTTCTGAGAAGAATTTAGATATCAACAATTTTTTGTAATGTGTTTCTAATTTAAAAAAAGTCACAGTAGTTATGTACATGTTATTTCAATATACTTAAATCTTGCCAAATATTTGTCGTTTGAGCTCAGAACTTTCGACTTTGAGTGCAAATAATGCGCTGCGCTTGTCGTGACCTTTCAAATTTCCCAAGCGGTTCTTCAGTCTCAAAGCTCAATGGATCACGGCACTTTAATTTATACGTGAGTACTTTGATGGGTCTGGCTAACTACTGCAATTCTAAACTTTATTGACAGATGATCAGAAATAAAATGAAATGCAACATAAAAAGAAATGGTGAATTTTATATACAATAGATAACAAGAAAGAACAAAATACTAACACTAAAATAGCTCATAAAATGCTGCTAGATTGAATGTAGAAAAGGAGCTGAGGCTATTAAAGCTTAACGTCGTTTCAAAGGTAGATATCGAAAGTCGTTTCTTTGAATGGTACCGCGAAAACCCACCCCTCGTCTTGACAAACGCTTTTATGCAGGTCCCGATATCAGAAATCATTTAGCCTTTTGTGATAATGACCAACTGATAACGACATATAGATGTTTACGATGTGGAGCTGATAGCGATGTCATGCCTACGATTGAGACATTCCACTTTCAGCTTCCTTTGATCTCTTACCCGGATATGTTATGACGATTCACAACAGCTCTAGTATCACCGTGATTTAAAAACAAAATAGAATTCTGTTTTACAGATGCTTCACTTAGCCTAGAAAAGAAAACCGTGATTGGCACTAGAACGCTGCCAGGTTAAAAAAAGTTTATAAGGTGAGGGGTATATGTATATATGTAAGGGTTTAAAATTTCGTATACAAATTACTTGACTTTAACATATTTACATAATGTTCTTACATAACACTGCTAGCAAATTGCTGGAAACTTTTTGCAACAAAGATTTTGATAGATCAGTCGATAAGCAAGTTTGCTATCGTCATTATGCACTTG